GAGGCAGGAGTGAGTGTGAGCAGAGAAATCATCCCCCACAATGCAGTAGGTCTCCACACACGTACAGGAGCACAGGACCTCACTGACACCCCCTGCTGCACATAAAAGAATATGTGAGCGCTGTAATAAAATAACTAATTACTTAAGAAGATGGAGATGTGCTGGGACACAGGACAGGATAATAAAGTTCTGCCAGGATACTAAGTGACGGCAGCGGGATTGAGTCGTGTGTCAGTGTGTGTGTGTGAGAGAGAGAGAGAGAGAGAGAGAGAGAGCTCCGTGATTGCTTATCTGATGATTTATCGCTGCACCTGTGTGTGTGTGTTAAAGTGCACACACACACACTGCGATTTTTTTTTCTTCTATTCTAGTATTAATTTATCTTCAGTTTAAAAATATGACATGAAAAATGACAAAATATATTTTTAAAAAACGTCATCCGTGCGATTGGGCAATGATCTCAGACATGCATTTATTTCTTGAAAGTGTATATATATATATATATATAAAAATTCTATTATTCTAATTCTAAATATTGATCAATGATCAAGGTGGACTGAAGGTGTTGTGTCTGAGGTCAAAGGTCAAGTCAGAGACTCTTCCTGCTTTTCGTCCCTACTTTTTCTTCTGAACATCCTTTAGTTTCGGTGTGTGGTTGCTGCTGTCACTGTTACTGCTGTTACTGCAGGTGCTGCTGCTGCTGGTGGTGGTGGTGTTTTTTGTGATTGCTGTTACTGTTACTGCTGCTGTTGCTGTTGCTGTTACTGTTACTGCTGCTGCTGCTGCTGCTGTTCTGTACAAATGTGTTTCTCGTACTCACTTCCATTTCGCCCTTGACCTTAGCGCACGGGGCTAGCTCAGCTCCCTGGATCTCCTCACAGTATGAGTAAACATAGGGGGCGGGGGTTGAGGGGGGGGCAGCCTGTTGTTTCACTCCTGACTTCATCTCTGTGCCAACTGCTGCGGGTGTGATCCAAGCCGTGGAGTTTGCGATTGGGATTAAAACACGTGCGAGCGGTTGACAAAGGTGTGTCTGTGTTGACGGGGGCGAGTCGGACCGATCTGAGCATTCGTTGGGCGTTCGTTGTGGTTGAGCCGCACGCGATGTCGACGTCGGCCGCTTCGGCGCTTGACAACCTGATGACGAGTGAACACGATGCAGCCGTCGCAGCTTTTCTTTTCGCTGCTTTTAAATCACACTGATTGGCAGACAGGAAGAGTGTGTGGTTACACAGTTATTTTAGGCTTCTCCCACATTTGAATATGCATCTGTGTGTGTGTGTGTGTGTGTGTGTGTGTGCCGATTGCCTATGACACACACACATACACGTACAGTAAATGTGTGTACTGTAGGTCCCTACACATGTGCACGTTCTCTCAGATTACTAATGTAATATAATGTGTGTGTGTGTGTGTGTTTCGGTGAGTCTGTATTTACTAATATAATATTGGTCATAAGCGTCGGAGTGTGTGTGTGTGTGTGTGTGTATTTGTTTTAGAGCGGGAGAAATTGAGAAGTGCCGATGAATTTAAATGAGCGAGCTCACAGAGTAACCTTTTGTATATCCAATCTGCATCTTTCCACCGCTCGTTATTAAATTATCCCCTAATTGGTCACGCATCAAAGGCAGCTGATGAAAAAGACAATTTCTTGCTTTTAATTGGGCATTTCACGTGTGCCGGGTATACACCTGTGTGCGACCGCCTCGCCTCAGCATGTGTGTGTGTGTGTGTGTGTGTGTAAATGTGAATGTGTGTCTGGGGTGTAATGAGAATAGGGCATTAGCAAGGGCTTGGCAGACGCCGTCGCCATCATTTCCCCTTTTTCCACAGAAGGAGGGAGAGGATTAATCCAGACATTAGAAATCTCACAAGGAGAAATGGATTGGCAGCCGAACAACAGAAGAACAAAACTCAACCTTGTAGACTCAGGTGACCTTCGTCGGCTTGGAAAATACCTGGGAACTGAGCTCAGCAGATGAGTCGGCAGATTTAGACGGAGTTAGACAAGTTATTGAATTAGCAACGGGGAAAAAAAAATACACCTTAAAATGTCTGGAAAATATGTTAGTGGTGCTTTAAATTCATCATTAAATGTCTGATCTTAAAGATTTTAATATCGTTGTCAAATGGAAATTTAATTCAAAAATTGTGTTTTGTCAAGTGAAAAAAAAACTCTAAGAGATAACAGTCAAAAGCGGCCAAATGTTGAGGAAATTCATATAAAAGTTGACTCATTTTAATGTGTAATATTAAATATGACCTCGTGGTCAAAGAATCAGGGCCTGCTTTATATGGTTCAAATCCCTGCCCCTGGGCTGGAGAGCGCCTCTGAACAAACCTCCAAAACACTGACACTGACTGAATAAAGCTGCTTTATATTTCTAAATAATAGATAAATATACGCCAAACCACAGCTACACTTTTCCAAGTAATTCCTAATAGAAAAAACAAAACAAAATCTGAATAAAACAAAAACCAAAGGTTTTGCCTTGGAATTCCAGGAAAACTTTGCTCTTTGTTTTTTCCTTTGCCCATCTTTGGTCTCTCCACCACCACCACCACCACCGGTGGTGTTTGTGTGTGCGGTGCCAAAATAGCACAGCTATTGTTGAAGCGAGTGGAGCTGAATAGTGCGGCTCATTGTGTGGTGATGGGAGGCAGGGGAATGAACAGGCCATAAACACTGTCCCTGTGGCACCGGGGGTCATGAAAAGGTGAGGCCTCACTGCCCCGACACAAGAGCTTCTTCTCTGCTCCTCCGTCACCATTAGCTTCTCCCCTCGCTCTCTCTCTCTCTCTCACTCTCTCCCTCTCTGCTAGCTTGTTAACGTTAGCAGCATGTCCCTCCTACATGTCCCCCCCTTCCTCTCTCTCTCTCTCTCCACCATCACTCCATTCCACTGCCTTCTATGATAAGAGGGCATTTCTACCCCTTTGTTCCAGCTCTGCCCTCCACCTCCTCCCCCACCCTCCCCTGGTGCATCTGGCCTCAGATATGAAGGGTACAGGAAACTAGTGAGAGTTTTTGAAGGGAGAAGAAGAAGAAGGAGAAGGAGGAGGAGGAGGAAATTGTGGATTCATGGATGGGAGGGCGGGGGGGGCAGTTTCCACCATACAGGAGAGGAATGATAAGAGGAGCAGGCAGGAGGAGGAAACAGATACAGGGAGGAGGGGGAGAGACAGGAAGTAAGACAGGCTTTCAAGTAAGAGAAACACCTGTTAGACAAAGTGTAAAAAAAAAAAAAAAAAAACGGCTAAAGATTAGCCTAAAAAAATGTTTGAATATGGGCCACAACGTAACAACGAGCCGAGCTAAAGATCACTATAAAAGACAGGGAGAATTGGAAAGAAAAAAAAAACCTCCAACATTTCACCTCAGTTAAAGATGAAGCTCAGGCTACGCTGTGTTTCTGGAAAATCAAATCAAAGCTCAGTTTTACTACAAGCTGTTGTTCTGAGGCGGAAAAAGGGACGGATGAGAGAGAGAGAGAGAGAGAGAGGGTGATGATAGTCGTCCAGCACTGGCCTGAAGTTGACCTGTTAGAGGGCAGAGGATGAGAACTGTTGGGCCTCCTCAGGTCAGCTCCTATCTCCTGCCCCTCCTTCTTCCATACCCCCCTCCCGCCCCCCCCAAACACAAGTGGTGGTGAGGGAGGGAAAA